ATTGGAAAGCACTGAAATGGAGGAAAGTGTCTGGCTCTGATGATCTGGGATGGAGCCCCAGAATGGAATATTAATCAGGGAATGTGAGTAGTGGGATGTGGATTCAAGTCAGAGTCACAGGAGACTTCCTAGGGCCCAAAACTCTTTTGCTTTTGTGGACCTTTCTACCACGATAGCATTAAAACTTATGTTTCTAGAACTTTAAATAGTTCAATGTTTTTTTATTTTTATTTTTTCATCTTATCTATCTTATTTTATTTTATTTGGTTTTAGGCAAAATGCAATAGATATTGGGTGCCCTGCAAATTTCCCTTTTGTCTGATATGAGAAAAATATTAAAACATTTTTTCAATCCTGAAATTGAAATTTTCTCTTCTGATTTGAAACTACACTAAAACATTTCCTGAACCCCTAAAAGTTTTGTGGACCCCAGACACTGTGCCTCCTGTGCCTAATGGAGAAGGTGGCCTGAGTCCAGGTGAAGGAGAAAGGTTCAGCCTGCAGCACTGGGTGTGGGGCTACTGATGCGGGAAAAGCTGGGGGTGAGCTCTGCTTCATGGGAGCTGTGTGCCCCACCCCAGAGCCAAGCACAGCCGACTGGAGCAAGCATTTGGCAGAAGCATCTCCGGTTTACCAGTGCATGAGTTTGATGACAACTTCTCTGCTTTTTTTCTAAATGCTGCAATCGGATGCAGAGAACTAGAGTCCAGGAGTCTTGTTTCATGCTTTCATTGTGTTTAGCTGTGTGACCTTGGGCAAACCCTTTACCTCAGTGTTCCAAAATTTGCAAAGTGAAAGAGTTGGACTAGACATTAACTCTCTAGATATAATTTGTGCCCTATATGCTTCTTAAATATTATAAGAAAATGTAAGAGGGAGATAGATGAAAGCATGTATAAAGGGAGGTAGGCATAATTAGTTCAGGGTCCAGAAGTAAATTATTTTACTGTGATACAATATTAGCTATATGTCTGAATTTGCTGGCAGCTGAGAAATACTGAATTGTTATTGTCTGACCAAAGGAAGGGTAGTACTTCTTTAGGTATTTAGTTGGCATTTTATTGAAGAGGGTGATTAAGGTGACATGACTGCCCCGTTTACCCTGGAGCTGGACCTGGGCAATTAGAGGCTCCTCATTCACTCCCCTGTCCTTAGAATGTCCATACGACCCACTGTTCCCACAGTGGGAGACATTTTCATGGACATAGTTATGGTACTGAGAGAGCAATATGTTGTTGAGGCCATTTGGGCGGTATATGTGACTGGACCCAGCTAAAGCTTCTGTATAAACTGTTAATATTCTAGCTGTGGGTACATAGTTCTACTCATCTTGTGGTGCCCAAGTCAGCCTCACATGTAAACCCTTTTGCTTGTTAAACCTGTCACATACCAACCTGGAGTGGTCTTGGGGTACCCCTTTCTTTGGTCTGTCTTTGCCCTCCATGTAGGGCACCAATTTCAAATTGCACCTAGGAAGCTCCCGAGTTTGCAAACCAACACATTTATTCATACATTTTATTTTTTATGACAAAAGCAGCACAAACACAATTAAAAAAAAAGGCAAAAATTCACTTAAAATCCAACTACCTTAATAAATCTCAACATTTCCCTTCTATACCATGGTAAAAATTATTCAAATCATCATTACCAGAGAAAATATTTTTGCTTTTTTTCACCCAAGAAGATATACCCTTTGCTCCCATGCTGCTTTAGCACTTGTCTGTGTTATTTTAAATATCTGCACAATGGCAGCTGGACAGTGGCGATTCCTTGGCCATTAGGTGTTTCGTTGGTTTCCAATTTTTCATTACCACCCAGAATAAGCAATTAATCCTATGTAGTCTTTTCCTTCTTTAGGATAATTTCATTACATGAATTCCTTGGAATGAGAAAATTAGGTCAAAAAGTATGGAAATAATTGTTTTCTAGGCCTTGATCCTTTGTTTCCATTAGAAATTGTATTCTCATATTGTGTGCTCACCACTCAGAGTCAGGTCTCCTTCCATCAACATATATTTGATCCCCTTTACCCTCTTCTACTATCCTCCCTTCTCCCTTTACCCTTTGGTAACCACTGAACTGTTGTCTGTGTCTATGAGTTTTTGTTTCTTTGTGATATATAGATGTTGTTTTACAAAACTATACACTTGAAACCTATATAATTTTAGTAAACATTGTCACCCCAATAAGTTTTAATTAAAAAAAAAAGAAATTGTACTCTCTTGGGCACTGCATGCTATAATAAATTTGCTGGGCAATCTTAGAGGACAGTGATCGTTTTTAATTCTAAATGGCTCTGGATGGACCTGTTGCAAGGCAATGGAAACATTTGGATTTGGCTAGATTTGTTACCAGTATTAATATGCTTTTAGTATTTGAATGTATATAGTATAAACAGAAATAGGAAGGAATATTTTATCGAATTAGGAATAAACATTGTCTGGGCAGGTGGCAATGAGGAATGGAGTGGGCTGCTGAGATGCATGGTGCCCCTCTGATGTCGGGGAGGTTGTTGAAGTTACATGTCCTTGCAAAGATATCAAAAGAGCTGGAATCATTCTCGATTGAGGTTGGCTGGACTCCACTTTCCCATTGGTCATGTCTGTAAGAAGTTAACTGGAGCTGAGTTTCCTTCTTCCCTGGATCTCACACACCTCGGTCTCCAAGTGCTTTGCTTCTCTTCTCCAAGTGTTTCCCCAGAAGACAGCCTGAGGGAGAGGAAGTGGTGCTAATTAAATCCTCCCTCTGTTTTCCAGGCAGTGGAGCCTTTCGCAGATGTCTGTTGTTAGGCGGGTGTTCACAGAGTGCAGCAAATACAGAAGCAGGCTTTCCTTCCCCAAAGGCACAAAGCTTCCTTCACAGGTTACAGGGAACTTTAGAAATGCACTTCCTTCCAACACCCACTGTAACAGGCGGCAGACCTGCAGAAATAGAGCGTATAACTGCCAAGGAGGCCAAAGTGTCTCACTGATCTCTCTCTCTCTCTCTCTCTCTCTCTCTCTCTCTCTCTCTCTCTTACTCTCACACACACACACACACACACACACACACACACACACACACACACACACACACTGAATTTCTTCTGCTTCTCTGTGTGCCTTGTATTTCTCACAGGTCAATCTCTGCCTTTTGTACACTTAACTTCAAATATTTTCATGGGAATTCAGTGAATCTTCTCTTGTTATACAGCATGCATGATGGTAGGCATGGTGGACTCAGAGCGTGGTTGGGAGTCCTGGGTGGGAGTCCAGGCGCTGCCATAACTATTCAAGTGTTTCCAGATGGATCCCACCAACTCTGGCCAACAGAGACATGGAGATGAACTCATCCTCCTAGGCTAGCTGGGAGGATCAGATGAGAAAACCTGCCACGTGATCTCCAGAGGGCTTTTCGCTTGCGACTTCTAACCAACTGTGTTTTCTCCCATATTCAATACCCTCACAGTGACTATGTATATCTATCTACATGTGCCTGAGACAATCCCAGTTTACTCCCATCTCCCTGGAATAATTGTTAACAGCACCGTTTTCATGCTCAAAAGTGTCTATCTAGGTTTAGGCAACAAATTATATGCTTATACTATTTTTACCTCCCTTGAATACTCTAAGCAATCCCAATTTCAAGAAGGTAAACTTGCTAATGATGGAGAAACTTCTCACTTTCTGGGATTTCACAAGAACAGAGGAAATTGATCCTTCTGGTGAAGCACACTGAGGCAGCCCTGAGAATAAGGTGGCATTCCCAGTTACACGGTGAAGCAGGGTGTGAGAAACCTGCCGTGTAGCACCAGTGCCATGCTCACTGTAGGGATGGCTGTGTGGCCCCAGAGTGAAAACGGAGACCTGATTTCAGGGCACTTTCTACTAGTTAGCATGTGCCTTGTTTCCTTTTGTTTTACGTTGCTTTATATTTACAAAGTAGAAATAAATTCATTGTGTTTTTATTTTAGGTCATATATAATCATTATAAGCACTTAGAGACTTATGAAAACAGAAAATAAAAATCATCTGTAACCCTATTATCCAGAGATAACCATTGCTAATACTTGATTTCTTTTTAGACTTTTCCTAACCACTCTCATGCCATACATGTATATAAATATGTAAGTCCAGGTATTCTCTCATCCTTCCTTCCTTCCTTAATTATTTTAACAAACTTGAATAACATTATTCATAATATTTTATAGCTTTTCCTGTTAATGTATTTTGGACATCTTTCGATAATAAAAATATACACTCATATTTTTAATGACTCCATTGTATTGTACCGCATGGTATAAGATATCCTATTTAGCCGATTCCCTACTGATAGTACTTAGTTTCACTATCATTTGTCTTATATTAGATATAATGTTGAATGAGTGTCTAATGTTTCTATTATATACAGTGTTTTGCTATTAGACATAAAGTGCATTTTTCTGCTCTTAGACACAATATTGTGATGAACGACTTTCTATATTTATGTCTTTGAACATTTGTATAAATTATTTCCTTAGGATACATTCTTAGAATCGCGATGTTTCAGTTAAAAAAACAGGCACAGTTTTAAGTGCTTTGAAGCTCCATTACTACCCAAGAAGCACCAAAGAAAGTGCATTATCACTGCTTTTAACTCTTAAATAAGCTTGCAGGCTGGTGGATTTTCAGGCAAAAATGCTATGAAAGTATTTTTGATATTAAATTTTGAAAAAAGATCTCCGGTGATTACTTCTCACAACTCTTCTCTTGTTCAGCTTCTTGTCCTGTGGGATTAAAGATGAGGAATAGAGCTACGTGCAGCCTCCTGTTCTCCGTTTGGAGCATAGCCTGGTAGGACTGCAGTATCTATGGTATCGAACTGCATCCGTCATTGTCCCGTTTAGTTAATGTGTGGGAGGTTTGTCAGTTTCAGGAGCATTATTTGCTCATGTAGCCTATTTTTCCAGAGCCAGGACACAGATGATTTTTTTTCTCCCTCCATCAACAACATTGTTTCTTCCATTTTTTTAGGCTAAAGAAATGGCAATGATTGGGAATTTAGAAGGGTTCCAGCCTGTGTCTCTGAAGCAAGAGGGAGATGACCAACCCTCGGAAACTGATCAGCTGTCCATAGACATGGGGGACCCAGGCAACGACTCCACATCAAGGCAGATTTCAAGGCAGCCAAGTGTGACCAAATCAACACTCTACCCCAATCCTTATCACCGGCCTTATAGCTCCCGGAAGTACTTCGTGACACGGGTAAAATCATTGATGCTCTTAACTGCTACATAAGACTTCTCCTTAAAATAATTCCTAATATCTCTCTCTATACCACCTGTTTTGCCAAGTGTTTTTATATTTGTTACCTCACATACTAGTCACGATAATTGTGAAGTAGATATCCTTATCCGCATTTTACAGGTGAAAGATCTGAATTTCAGAGAATTTAAGAGTCTTTGTCTCCTCAGTCCTGAGTTCATGCGAAACCTGATCTCTATTAATTCAAGTTCCATGGACAGAGAACCAGTGGCTAGAATATAAAGTTGTGAGCCCAGAGTGGATATTTGTTGTATGTTTGGAAATGACATGGGTGATGGAGTGGAAAGGCTTGCTGAGAATGGGCTGAACCTCAAAGGTCTCCATCGAGATGCTGGTATTATAGTGTAGGAGCAAGAACTTTGAAATCCCAAGCCTGTAGTTGCATTCTGAAGCTGAGCTCTTCCCTATGTAGTGGAGCTGGGCAAACAGATGATGGGGTGGGTGATGAGGACTGTGTCTGTGTGTCTAGATGAAAGAAAAAAAAAAAGATATTTTAAATTTCTAGCATTTGAATCAAGTGCTTCACTGGGTTCTAGTACCTTTGAACACCCTGTCTTGAACTTTCTTTCCTACTTAAGAGACCTTCTTTCCCAGTCTTGCAACATTCTTTTCAACACAGTAGGTAGCTAGCTCATAGGCTGCAATCAACTGGGGTCAAAATCGGGGATTGTGCACTGTGGCAATAGAGACAGTCTCATTTTTCAAGTGTACGTGGGACCTCTTGTTGAAAAAATGTTTACAACTCAATTTTGTAAATAAATGGTAGTTCAGGTTTTGTGACTATTTGTGAAGCGTTAATTAATGAATCCTAATTTGTTAGCTTTTAAAATATATTTTTGGTTAAGATAAAGTTTGAACTAAAGCGACTCGTGTGTGGTGGTTGTGTGTACGTGCTTGTTTGATGATAACATGTACTCACATCACCTATAGTCAGTGACTCTCATGTGCAAGGTGCATTGGCAGGTGGTATGCTATGTGTGTGTTTGTGTGAGTGTTTTTGCATATGTAGAGCACATGGTTTGTTTTCTAAAGTATGTGAATTTTATTTAATATGCAAAGTTAAGTTGTAAGATATAGCTGTGAAGAAAATCAAAGCATCCCCCAATTTTTTTTTTTATCTTTGATATTGGTGATGTATCAGCCTGGATTTGATGAAAGAAGGACAACCATAAGTGTTACAGAATAAGGGATATCTTGTTGGAAGCTGGTGCGGTTATGAGGGCTGGCTGAGCAGTCTATGGAAAGCTATTTTCTCTCTATCTGGTGATGAGTCTGAAGTTGCTATAGGTCAACCAATGGGCATTTGTGAAGTAGAAATAGGTAACAGGTTATAGGGAAAAACTGGATCTTGTGTATCTCCGATCAAGTCTAAACTTGAAAATGGGAATCACTTTCAGGAAAAGCCAGTGCCTTTCTCCACTGAGCTGCACACTTTCCCCACCCAGGGGAAGGAGAATCTGAGGGAGGAAGTCTGACTATAACAAAAAGGAGCTGTAGGTCCGGGTGTGGGCCAGGAGATCAGCAGCTGTGAATATGAGCTGCCCTGGTACCTGGTGGCCTGCACTGATCTTCAGCATGAAAAATGACTGAGCTTTCACTTTGGACTTTTAAATTTTACACAAATGTCTCTTATAGCCATCCCTAATTTCGAAACAGCTAGGAATGAAGACTATTCTAGGAAAGATATTTTCAGCTTAGCTAAATTGATGTAGTCTAAAGACATAACAGAGGTCTTATTTATTTGTTTATTTGCATAATGCTTTTATTTGTGTGGCTCTTTTTATTTTTTATGAAGTAAAGTACCCTGGAGCAACATTGCGAGGTAGGCAGGGGAGGGCTTATCACTCTTGTTTTAGGGATAAATATATTGAACTTTCAGAGGAGTGAAGTGATCTGTCAAAATCACATGCTATTTGTGGAAGAGCTGTAGGTAGACTCTGTATCTTCTGTCTGTAAGCCCAGTGTTCTTCTTACCATAATATACAATTGAATTTATGACACCTTTATAAGGGTTTTCAATGACTGACTTTGCTCCATGTTAAGAATTTCTTCTCTGTCAGGTGTGTAGAAAACAACCCTAAATTCTCAAGAGATTGAGAAGGAAAATCTTCTCCTGACCTTATTAATGAGTTTAAAGTACATGTAAGAACTCTTTAGGAGCTGTGATGCTGCATCCCAAGACACTCAGTGTTTACTTTTCTTCAGACCAAGAGACAGAATATGAAGGGCATTTTTTAGCATACAAATACAATGAATACCCTTTAATATGTGTGAAGATAATGAAAATACAGCTGTTGGCTCAACTGCAACTTGTGATAAGTATTTTATTTTGAATAAAGAAATGACCCAGTTTTACTATCTTATGAATGACAAATCTGATGTTGTTGGAATTGAGAAAATGAGGGGAATGTATGGACGTGTGTGTATATAAATTTACTCATCTGCAAGGTGTGGATGAAATGCCAATTTTATATGGAGGTTTAAATAAGCTAACTTTGAAGAGTTCTTAGTACAATTCATGCCACATCTATTCACATTTCATAAGTGGCATCTCATTGCTATTATAAATGACTCTCCTTCTTTTTTGTGGATTTCACATTAACATTTTTATAATTGGTCATAGGCAATTAAGTTGACCATGATCTCACCATGACCTCCAGGGTGAGGTATAAATGTGGATGTATAGACTCCGTATGAGGTTTCTGGTCAAGATGGCAGAGTAGGTAAACACTGTACTTGCCACCTCTCATGACCACATCGAAATTACAACTAAACTACAGAATAAGCATCACTGAGAATCTCCTGAAATCTGGCTGAACAGAAGTACTGTGGCTAAGGGTACACAGAAGAATCCACTTTAAGACTGGCAGGAGGGGCAGAGAAGCAGGCTGTTCCCACATCTGCCTGTGGCAGTTAAAACTCAAGAGGAGTATCTCAACTGTCGAGGTACCCCCCCACAGGATTCAGGGGTCCCAGACTCACACCAGGCTCCCCAGCCCAGGGTTCCAGTGCCAGGGAGAGAAGTCCTCGCAACTTCTGGCTGGGAAAACCAGCAGAGACTATGGCTGAGTGAGACAGATGGTGGTGGCAGTCCCAGGTGTTCCTCTTAAAGGTCCTGCACATGGGCTTACTCACTGATGAACTTACTCCCTCAGAGCTCCAGAGCTGGGACAGCAGCGTGAAAGGTGCCAGGGACATACAAGGAGGAACTGAATTGTCTGGTTTCGATGTGAGGGCTAGAGGGGCAGCTCTTTTCTAGACAGAAGTGCTGGGACAAGGCATTGTTTCTATGTTGAGCCTTCTTCCCTCCCAGTGAACACACTTTGGCGAGCACCATATCTAGGTCTCCATCAACCTGGATGGCACTGTTTACCCAGCCCTGGTGATTCGCTAAGACCCTGCCCTACCTAACTTGTAGGCACACTCAAGCCACTTCCAGTGGTTTTTCCATACACATGACCTGTCTTAACTCATGCTTTGAACTTCTAAAATATCTCAAATGTTCCCAAACACCAAACAAGCAGCATTTGTCCTCCGAGTGCCCCATACCTCTTGCTAAGCAGCAGCTGGCCTTGGTTCACATCTTAGCCTCCAAGCACAGTGCAGGTGGCAGCCATCTGCAGATTGCTTTGTGACTTATTCCAGGTGGCCCAGGCAGGGCACAGGTAGAGGCTGAACTTGATCTGAGGCAGGGATCCTCCCAGGAGGCCCTGGGAGCAGGCATATCCAGTGGCTGGCTTCCGACGTGGTCAAAGTCCCACCCAGTTGTCTCCATAGACCACATCCAAAGTACAGACCAAGCAGACACCAGAGTCCTGCTAAAGTGAATCCTGCTCTATAGGGTCAGCCCCTCCACAATAGCTCCTTCACTATAGTCATGCCAGTCCTCACAACCACTCAACCTGAGGGGTCAATCCCTTCCATTGATGTGCAAAGAGCAACCAAGGCTTAACTACAACAGGAGGGTAACACAACCCACACAAGGGACACGCCTGGAGCACCCAGCTCAGGTGATCAGGGAGATTGTGCCACTAGGCCCAACAGGACACCTACTATATAAGATCACTGTACTAAGACCGGTAGACATAGCAACTATATTTAATACATAGAAGCAAACACAGGGAGGCAGCCAAAATGGTGAGACAAAGAAACATGTGCCAAATAAAAGAACAGAACAAAGCTCCAGAAAAAGAAGTAAACAAAATGGCAACAAGCAATCTACCAGACACAGAGTTCAAAACACTGGTTATAAGGATGCTCAGTGATATCTGTGAGAACTTCAAAAAAGAGATAGGAAACATAAAAATGGAGATAGAAAACATGAAAAAGAACTAGTCAGAAATGAAGACTACACTATCTAAAATAAAGAATATGTCAGAGAGAATCAACAGTAGATTAGATGAAGCAGAAGACTGAATTAGCAATTTGGGAGATAAGGTAGCAGAAAACACCCAATCAGAACAGCAAAAAGAAAAAAAAAAGTGAGGGGAGTTTAAAGGGCCTCTGGGACAAAATCAAGCATGCCAATGTTCCCATCATAGGGGTACCAGAAGGAGAGGAGAGAGAGCAAGGAATTGAAAACCTATCTGAAGAAATAATGATGGAAAATTTCCCTAACCTGGTGAATGAAATAGACACACAAGTTCAGGAAGTGCAGAGAGTCTCAAACAAGATGAGCCCAAAGAGATTTGCACCAAGATACATCATAATTAAAATGCCAATGTTTAAAAACAAAGAGAGAACCTTAAAAGCAGGAAGAGAAAACCAGTTAGTTACCTAAGGGAGCTCCCACAGACTGTCAGCTGATTTCTCAACAGAAACTTTGCAGGCCAGAAGGATTGGCACAAAATATTCAAAGTGATGAAAAGCAAGGACCTATATCCAAGATTACCCTATCCAGCAAAGCTATCATTTAGAATCAAAGGACAGATAAAGAGCTT